ACTGCTTTGGAAATTGAGCCGGGAACGAAAGGGGAGAAGAAACGTCCATCAATTGTCATGCGAATGAGCTGCCGGTCTACCATGCTCCTGTCACATGCCATGGAAGTGCTTGATGCGAGAGAGAATGGCTCCGGGGCGCCTGAAGGAGGGGGCCTGGTGGACTGCCAGGGATACTGGTGAGCTCCGCCCACGCACTCTCGTGGCACTCTAAAATCGAATTGCGATACTGGACTTGCGACCGGAAGTCAAGGGCCCAATCGTCACCTTCCAATCGTTCCTCCACCTTCCTCTTGTTCTTCTCGAAGGCACGGCATGTGCAGCGCGCTCTGTATGTTGCGGCCTTGCCCTGCAGGCCGATGCTTCTGACCTGCATGCTGCATCCATGGGTGCGAGGTGCATCATCGCAAACAGCGCTATAACAGGTTATGGCATTTTACGGCCCACAAGTCAAACGAGCAATGGTTTTGGCTTCTGCATGCAGATTACTTTGGGATAGCGGAACAACCTGGGCGACACGAGTGCACACTGAATGGCAATAGAGGCTGCAGGCCTCCACATTCAGACAGAAGGAAGGCCGAGGGACTTTTAAATGCTGGCTTTGGGTGGGCAATGATGTCGCAAGGGTCTGCCGAGACAATTCGCGCGAACCGACTCCCAAAGTCGTGCCGAAATATTTCCCATGCCCAGAGAGCTTGAACTTCTCTGTCTGCATGCCCTGCCGGGGAAAGCGGGATCTACTATCGAATGGGTCGCGTGGCCGAGGGGCGCAGGTCAGGGCTTCGGTGGGGTGAAATATGGGGCCCCGCGCAGTGGCCTGATTGATGGGCCCCCCGAGGGATTTGGGGTGGGGCAGTAGTGCAAGTTGGGGGCCGCCATAGCTAGGTCGTCTGCGAGGCCATGTCGGGAGAACTTGGGGCCATGCAAGGTGCCCGAGAATTATGTAAGTATCGGAGCACAGGGTCAACGCGAGCGGCGGATAGCGCACCCGATATGGGGCAACCTTGTTTTGCACCGGCTTTCACTTGGTAGGAGTGCCAATTGGGAGCGCCTGAAGTTCGCGAAGGTCTGGGCGGTTTGGCACAGGAATAGCACCCCGGCACAAGTCTGGGGCGCCTGCTTTCTCGAGCGCGTTCTCTATCCACTAGACATGCAAGCTGGGGAATGCGGTTTTGATGTCGACGCAGCGCGCTCCGAATGCTCTCGCATGCTCCATATCATTGAGAATGGCCAGGAAGGAGCCGACGTCTATGATGCGATCGAGTCCTCGGCGGCCAGGCGCGCGCCCCCGCTGGCTGCCGCAGCGACGGTGCGCGGAGGCATGGCTGAGAAGTGAGGCGCGCTGCCAGAGGTGCGCGTGTGGTGCGTGTGCGAGCGCGTGCGCGCGCGCGCGCGCGCGTGCGCGCGTGGCGCGGCGGGGGGGGGGGGCGGGGCCCCGGCGTTGGCCGCGCGAGTAGGGTGAGTTTCCCCGTTTCGATGGAATGCCGCAAGTCCTTCGTTGAAAGCGCCATGGCCCTCGCCTCCAGCAACCGCGCGCAAGTGGAATCCATGCAGATCTACGAGGTCCCCAGCGCGCCGCTCTCCATGACCGATTCCATCAGGCCCAAGAGCAGACTCGTGGAAACGACGAAGAACCTCCGAAACCGCATCTTCCGAAATAGCCCAGGGCGCACCAGGGGAGGCGGTCTGGATGATGGGGCCCAGGATCTTGAAACGTTCGCGGTCGACGTGGTGTTTTTGCCCCGATCCCCCCCCAATGCTGTTCCAGTGTCGCGGCGGAATCGTCGGCCGAGGCGAACGGGTTTTCGGCCGAGCCAGTAATGATATGCAAGTAGACGCAGCGATCATGGGGGGACATGGCGGCGGCTAGTTCGCGAAGTCGAGAAATGCGTTGACGCCTTCCTTCAGATTCGACCGACAGGTCAGCCGCTGGCATTCGCTCTTCCCGCTGCAGAGAGACCGGCGCTTGATCGGCAAATAATTATTGGAACTTGGTTCGGTCGCGCCGCTGCGTGACCTCGCGACCGGATGGAAATGCCGAGGTAGGGGCGCGCTGAGCAGGCGCGACGGGCAGCGCACGGCGATGTTCGACCCTCCCGGCGGCCTCAAATTTGACTTCTCCACCGCCAGATACTGTCTGAACTAGGTCCGGGGAGAGGCCAACTTCATGCAAAATTCTCCATCTTTACTTTCGAGCGCGCGGCCCGCTTCGGAATGGCACGGCCGCTGGCGCCAGCGAAGGGGGCATAGGAAGACGAGAAGACTGCCGCGCGGTCGCTTGCCAAGCTGTCCTGGAAAAGATCGGAGACCCCGCCCGCGATCGCTGCGTGCTCGAGGTGGGCCACGCGAGAAGCGGGGCATATTTCCGATCAATCCGTCCCGCAGAGGTAACTCCATCGTCTCTACTTGTCTTGTTCGTGCGAGGTGAGACTGGTATATCTCCGCGTATCTCCTGAATCGGCCCAGGCAACATTTAGCGATGTAAGGGGAGCTGGCTGGGGCGGCCCCGTCGCTTGCGCGCGGCGGGCCTTCTCCTGCAGCGCAGCGGCGGCCAATTGGAATCCCAGAGAGGCTCGGCGCACTCGGCACAACTCATGTTTGCGGGCGTTGTGAACGAGGGAGGGTCCGATATGACTGTCAATGAGCCGAAGGGTGTCAGCGGCGCCATATTTGCAGGATGCGAAGACGCCCCTTCTCAACCATCTACGGGGGCAAAGCCTTGAGATTGGGGCGCGGTCCGATCGTGGACCAGCGTGGCAACGCCCCCCGCAATCTCAGAGCCCAAGAAAGAACCGAATGCCTGAAACCGGGGGCGCCGCCGTCTAACTGCATCAGGATCCTCGTCATTGCCGCGGGTCTCCTGGATCATCGCGATGACATGCTTCTTCGAAAGACTCATAGTAGACTTATGGGCGCCGGCTCGCATCTCCTGAGAAGTCCAAACGCGGCCACAGAAAGCGCGGCATACCGAATCCAGGCAGGCGGCATCTTGCGGCCGACCTCGCGCCCAGGGGTTCCAGGTACCTGAAAACTGCTGATCCTCTCGCATCCCATGCTGGTCTCGCTGTTGGAAGCCCCTAGCGGGTCGCGCCCGCTGTGGTCGCAGCCGCCTCGCGCGGGTTGAAGATGTCCTTGTCGGCGGCGCACCAGCAGCGGAAGTTTCCCCAGTTTGGGGTCGCACTGGAAGCCAGTAGCTGGGAGAGCCTCTGATGCAGTAGAGCTCGAACACGTCCGCAGACGACGAAGATTGGCTGAGGCCTTGGCGCCCATTGACGCCGAGCGTGTAGTTGCGGATCGGGCGGTCACCTTCCTTCAGTCAGCCCAGGGTATGCTGCCAGATGAGACTTGCAGCTCGCGGGCGCGTCCTCGCGCCCATGGGCAAGCAAGTCGCCGCGCGCCCGGATGATGGTGGCGCGCGGGTCACGAGGTTCTTCCGTATATGAATCTAAACAACTGCAAACATAGGCGAACGAGCTGGAATCATCGTCCGACGAGAACTCGACCAAGTAGGATCGCGGGAACGTGCCAATTCAGCGCCTGGTCTTGTTCACAGGCTGTCCATGAGGTCCGTGGCTACTATCTGCGCGAGAGGCTGAACCGTTGGCTCTGGGGCCCCCTGAGGGCACAGGTGCAAAGCGAGTCCTCAAGGCCGCTGGCCCCGATTCGGTCGACCCCATCTTCATGTCAATGGCAGCGTGCACCGCGGTGGCGATCGTCCCCTGCTGGGCGGACTCCATCTCGGCGAGCCGAGTGTTGATGTTCTGCAGATTCTGGTCGTGGGTAAACATGGTTGCGCGCGGCGAATCGATATCCTGCGCCCTGTCCAGACTGAACTTCGCGATGTCGGTGTTGGTGTCGCCTGCGGATGGCGTGAGTTCTTCAAGCCGGCTGGGCGTTTTCGCACGGACCTGGTCGTTTTGCACTTTCACCACTGTCTGAGCTTCGCCCACTGCGGCTGTGGTCACTTCGCCATGGCGAACTTACTGTCGGAGAATCACTGGATTTGGTTAGTTCTCCACGGCGAGCTGGGGCCGGGCTCGCGTTGTACCGAATGGGATCAGCCGAGCGGCGCTCATCTCGCCTCTTCGTCATCGAAGCAACACGCGGAGAAACTGGAGTGATACGGGTTATCTTGTAAGAGAGCTAAGCGGCTGTCCGCTGACAGATTGGCGCGGGCTCGGAACACCCACGCGGACTTGGCAGCTCGCGTTTGAAGGTCGAGCGGGGTGAATATATCATGTTGGCAGACAGCCTCGACCCACACCTCACGGCTGCGACCAAGCTCAAGCCGCCGAGGTCTCGCGGTCTGCACTTTAGCCAAAATTGCTATAGAAGAGGAAGGAAAAAGGAGGAGGAGGAGGACGAGGAGGAGGAGGAGGAGGATGAGGGGGACAAGAAAGACGGGGAGAGGAAGGAGGAGGGGGAGGAGGGAGGGAGGAGCAGCAGGAACGGGAGGTGGCGGGGGAGGGGGGCCTCCCTCAGCCCTCCCACGACCCACCTTCTCCACTCCTCGCTCTACCCTCCCCCCTCCCTCCCCCCTCCCTCCCAGCCTCCCTCCTTCGCTTCCTCCTTCCTCCCTCCTCCCCCCTCTCCACCCCTCCCCCTTTCTCCTCTCACCCCCCCTCCTCCTCACGCGCCACCGTGCCCCCGCCATCGCCCCACGAGCGACTCGCAGACCCTCGAGGCCCAATGGCTGTGCAGCAGAGCCCCGTCCAGCCCGCTGGCAGAGTCTGCCACGCGGGGGCGGGGGCCCCGATGGAACCTCGGCGACTCCGAAGGGTGTGGCTTGGAGGAGGAGGAGGAGGAAGGAGGAGGAGGAGGGGGAGGAGGAGGAGGAAGGAGGAGGGGGAGGAGGAGGGGGAGGAGGAGGAAGAGGAGGATAAGGAAGAGAAACATGGGGGGATGAGCAGGAGAATGAGAAGGAGGAGGAGGAGGAGGAGGAGGAGGAGGAGGAGGAGGAGGAGGAGGAAGAGGAGGATCATGATGGTGCCCAGGAAGAGGAGGAGGAGAAAGAGGAGGTGGTGGGCGCCGACTGGAACGTCGTCTGCTTGCACAAACGACGGCAGGCTAGATATGGGGCCCCGACGGCCAGACGGCAACCGAGCTTCCGTGAGAGGCTCACACGTGCCGCCGACCGAAGGGGAAGGGCCTACCTGGGAACACCCACTGCGCACCTGGGGCATGCAAGCAGCGGCCCAACCACAAGGTGACAGCGGGGCCCAGGCAGGCCAGCCTCTCAAAGCTCGGCCCTGAGCATGGCGAGCTGCGTGCGCAGGAGCTCGTCCGACAACTGCTCGAAGACCGCCGAAGAGAAGCCATCGGTGGACAGGCCAGTCGCCTCGAAGTGCGCGAGCGTCGCCGCGACGAGCTGCTCGCGCGAGAGCGTGCTGAGATCCTCCACCAAGGGCCGCGAAGGCCCAACCACCGCGTCCGAGAGCATCGCGGGCCCAGCGGCAGCGGAAGGGCCGGGGCAGTCAGCGCCCGAACCACCGGCGGCAGCCGCCAGCGGAGCGGGCCGCGACACGCCGTCGGCCCAGGAGTCGTCGTCCAAGCTCACGTCGGATGCGGCCGCATCGCCATGAGCTTTCCCGACAACAGCACGCACTCCACGATCCCCATCAGCTGCATCAGGCCGCCCAGCGCGCGCCGCAGCGCGCCGCTCCGCGAGGCGACGGCGCCGACGGCGACGTCGCTCAACCTTTGCCGCCGTCAGGGGAGGCGGGCCCTGCTTGCCAGCATTCGCGGCGCCATCGCCACCAGGCTGCGCCGCAGGCGGTGCCTCAGCAGCGAACGCCACCGCCGACACAGACGAGCGCGCCACGGCAGCGACCGTGCGCTGCGGTGCTTTGGCCAGCACCGCGGCACGGACAGCGGCAGCAACGAGGGCGGCGCCGTCCGAGACCGAGAGAGCCCCTCTAGCCCCTCGCGCGGCGGCCATCGCGGGGACGGCCGAGGCGACGGGCATGCGATCGCTTGAGCTTGAGCCAAAATGGCTACGGAGGAGGAGAAAGAGGAGGAGGAGGAGGAGGAATTTTTAGTACTCCGCGGCCCGCAGCCTCCCTCCGCCGCAGCACCGAAGCCCTGTGGAGGAGCAAGACAAGGGGAAGGAGAAGGAGAGGAGGACGGCCGGCCGCACTCATGCGGCAGCCACCTGGGGTCCCAAGAGGGGCCACCCCCAGGAATATCGCCTCGACGATGCGGACGAGCATGCCGAAGCAGTCCTCGAAGAGAGGCGCCCGAAAGCGCACTGGGGTCCCAGGAGGGGCCACCCCCAGGAATAGAAGCGCCTCGACGATGCCGATGAGCATATCGAAGCGGACCTCGAAAGAAGTAGGACTTATACCATGATACACATAGACGCCCAAGACCAGAAGTCTCAAAAGAATGAAAAGTCAGCACGACGAAATTAGATGCCGATATGCTCGGGCTGCTTGCTGCAAAATGCCACACGCCCCTTCGGTAGAATACCTCGGACCAATTTGCCCAAGTTCTGATGTCCGTAGTGACCCATCTGACCAGAACACACATTCGCCAACCTGCGCAGGAAATGCTTGCCGACACAACCGCAACGCAGACAGGCATGGATCTGCAGGTCCTTGAAATAACCCAAGAGGTGGGACTCATGAATCGGAACTCCTTGAACATGGACTCCAACATCGCCTACTCTCTGAATGTGGCCCTTGAGAACACCCCCCAAACAGGGCGTCTCCAAGAACCTTTCCAACTTGCGACCACTCGCGCTGCAACCACAAGCCGAACAATGAAATGATGTGCCCATGCCAGTGAAGACCTGGTGCTCGGACAACTTGACACGACGACTGAACTTTTTCGCCATGGACCTCGTCGGACGGACTCGTTTGGGCTCCGCCTCCGTCGCTGCCAGGAAAGCCTTGGCCAGGTGTTTGCGGACTGCACGACCGATTGCTTCCGCATGCTCAAGAGACGCTGCCACTGAACTATGAACAGCCACCACATTTGCCCAGTAACCAGCCGCTTCATCCGCTAAGGCGTTAGCAAGGTAGTGTTCGATCTGCGTCCCAGCTTGGATGGCCACCTCGACAGACATGTGGCTCTCGATCTTGACGACACTGAGCATGGATGGGTGCTGCGCAACCACGTCCTTGACCTGCAGCCAAAGGTCCAGGTTCGTAGTCGGAAGCCGCCCTTGCGAGAGTTTGCGGAGCCCATTGACCACGTACCCCGAGTCCGTGACGAAGGTGATAGGGACCCCTAGGTCGAGCAGATCTTCTGCGGCCCTGAGCAAAGCCGTCGTCTCACCTCGGTTGATGGTCTGCTTCTTGGGGATGCCACCGCCTCGGGAGAACAAAAGCTGGACGTCTAGGTCGGTGTCGGAGGTCACCTTGATGACTTGATAAGACCAGCCAATGCGCCGCAACCTAGCATCTGCAGAATGGAGCCCTCCTGAAGCATCACCGCCAACCAAGAGATGATCGAGATCCCTGAGATCATCCTTATGGCCGATGACCTCATCATACGGGTTGTCTGTCGGCTCGTCCACCTTGGTCCAAGGAGCAGGCAGTATGCCCCTCAACCACAGGCAGGGAAGGTTCTCGTAGTCCTGGTGGGCCCTGCTACGCAAGTTTGAAGAGACCGACGAGAACACCTCATTGCAAGAACACGACCAACTACGATGCAGATCGGTCTCTTCCAATCCACACTTGCAACGCTGACAATCGGTGGTGTCCAAATTGCTGCTGCTCAGGGTCGAGATCCTGCTGCGCGTCCACGAGGCTCCCGTCATGACAGTCTCGATAGCGCCTGCCATCTCAAACTCGCCCTTCTTCTTCAAAGATGTGAGGTGACGTCGAGCTTCACAGACGTCAGCTCCCTCTTCAAGACCTTTGCCATTCCAATGCCTCGAAGCCTTGTCCCAAAGCATGCGGTCGATCGTATCAGAGATGGCATCTTTGAGGGCACTCATATCTTGGGGACCTTGACCGATGATGCGGTCTGGGGCCATAAATCTTTCTCCAAGATCGGAAATCCATGCCCAAGGCCCCACAGGGTCCCAACCAATGTCTAAGAGCGTGGCTATAGTTGCAGACACCACTCCAGTGATGCCTCTCCATCTGTCCTTCAAATCCCTGCTGTCAATCCGTCTTCGTGCCGTCCTCCAGGTACGACGTGCCAACTCTAGGTCGAAGCCTGGTTTGAAAATAATGAACATCCAAGATTCCACCAGCCTGTGCACGATCTGATACTGAGGATCCTTGCGGCCAACACGTAGTTGTAAAAGAGTTGTGAGGCAACGACCTGGCCACTTCTTTGCCAGGGTCTGTCCCAGAGCTTTCCTCCAGCCGTTGATGACCGACGGAGCCGCACCAAAGACTTTGTCCGAGTAGTCCGCCATCGGAAGAACACCCATCATGGCCAACTTTGCGCCGATCTTCTTGCGAACCGCACCTTGAGCAAACCGCTTGACACGAGCGAAACGCTGCTGAGCACCTCTTCGCCGCTGAGCCTGCTTCGGTCGCCGAAAGCCAACCGTACCTCGATCGATGCCCAAGTCGGTGGCGACACTCTCTATCTTGACCTCGAAGCCCTCCTTGGCGAATCCTCGTTTCAACTCCTTGCCTAGCCCAGCATTGTTGGTAACTATCGTCGGCTTTACCGATATCACCAAACCTGCCTCCGATCAACCTTTTGCAAAAGTCAAGCCAGCTTGCAAGGCTAGTCCGAGAACTCTTTTGCATCTGCCTTCCACTCTTTGAGAAACGTCATCCACCCAGGACCTGACCGTGACACCAGGAGACCCCTGCGCCACTCTGTCCAAGATGTTGTACAAAGAACAACGAGAGAAATCCACTGCGCCGCCAAGTCCAGCTATCATGCTCTGCTCGGGTATGATGGCATCAGAATAATAACCACTGTCACGGAGGAAACGCACTCCCATGTGCAAAATCATCTCCAATGCCAAGATGCACGGTGGAAAATCGTGCTCCATACCAGTCTCCAGTAAGAGCTTCCACTTGAGAGCGTCGTAAAACCCCTCAATGTCCCACAGCACGCTGGCCTGCACCCAATCTTTAATCGTGGCGAGCGCGACCGTCTCGCCCAGGTAACTGCGAGCTAAGGCCTCGCGCAAGGCTGAGGAACCTGCCACTGCAGCATCCCAGTGCCCAGCCTTTGCCTTTGTCCAGCTGGCACGGTACTCGCCTCGGCAACTTGACCAAAGCCTCGCCAAGGTCGATAATATGCCAATGGCCCTGTCGTCACCGCTCGGCTTGCGTAGAAGAGTGACCAGAACCACCGTAAGTTGCCAAGGCCATGCCACTGACTGTTCGATAAGTTGAAAAAGTTGGACCAGCTCCTGCTTACCTTGCTCGGGCAACCAGATGAGGTCCCTCTTCCCCAACTGCTCAATGCCCTTCGCCGACGTGCCCTTCATCCTTCGGATGCCGTCTTCCAGCGTCTCCAAGTCGAAGAGAGGGAACGCGTCTTCACGAGCGCGAGCCCTAGCACGTCCCAAGAGTATGGTGACCTGGCCGATGTCGAGCTGCTGGTCACTCCACTTCTTCTTCCACACCTTAGCCCGAATGTCCATCGCCGTGAGGGGGTCCGACGATATTGCCTGGCCTTCCTCGAACTCATCCTTCGAGGTGGCCTTGTCCTTGATAAGTCGAAACAGCTTCCCAGGTGCGGCAACATACTGCTCCTCCGCCCATTGGGAGAAGGCCAGATACTGAGAATAACATTCCATCCGCTGCAAGCTGGCAGCAATCTTGCTGCTCTCGTCCTTGTAGCGCCTGATGGTGTCGTTCGTGGCGATGTTGAGCTGCCGCAGCTTCCTGCACCAAGCCGTTTTCTCCTTGTGCGGGAGGGAAGCCAGGGTCGAAGAAGGAACCCAAGCCGTGGCCTCCCTGAGTCTGGTAATTAGCTTCCCAAACCGAGGCGATTCTCGCTTGGAACTGGCCCTGTCCAACTCCCCCATCAAGAAAGCAATCTTGGCCCACCAGTCCACTCCAGGATCCCGCGTGCGTGTAAATGGAGGGGACGGCACCACTTTATGCGTCCTGGTGAGTCGAGCCAGACCTCGGCCTCGATGAGCCTTGCTGTCTTTGTCCAGACCCTCGCCGTCGAGCAGGTGGCTGAAGAACTCTTCAACCTTGCCAACCCACTCACCGAAGGCAATGCCCAGCTTGCCAGCACTATCAGAGGTAAGCCTCCAAGCGTGGGAGTCCGTGACGTACGGCGGCGGTTCCGACCAGCGATGATCCTGAGGTATGCTGATGGACGACCAAAGATCGGCACGCTGATCAACTGACCACTTGTCGCCTAAACCAGCTCCACCCCCAGGAGGGACCAGGCCTTCATCTTGATCCTCAGGCTCGTCAGGTAGAGGCTCGTCGTCGTCAGGCTCGCCCTCATCGCTCTCCGAATCCTCCCCAAGATCCATAGGACCCAAGAAATTGAATGGAGGAGGAGATTTGATACCAAGCCGCCGTCTCTCCCCAAGCTTGGCGATCCTCGGTCTCGCTGACGATGGAGTAGCCACCACCACCAACTTCCTCGAGCGCTTGCTGTTTGGATCCGCCTGCTTCTTGGGCTGCGACGGAGGACCAAAAGCCTTTGGTAGGCTAAGAGTACGTCCCTCAGCTGGCTTGGCAGCCAGAAGTAAATCCAATACAATACCGTAATGCGCTTTGCCACCTTCGCCCACTAAGTCCGTGTCGGCGTGAATGCGGCCCAAGTATTCCAAGGCAGACCCTGAGGCCACAACATAGTCTAGGAGCGTTCCCTGCCCTCCAGTGTACGTGTAGTCCACATTGTCTGCCACCAGGATATTGCCTTGGACCAAATTGAGCCACCCGGCCTTGCGAAGGGTATCTGGAGGAAAGTTCCAGTCGCATAAGATGACCCAAGGTGTCGATAAAGAGGAAACGAGCGAGGCCAAATGTCTAAGTTTCCCCACGTTAGCGCCAGTGATGCCCAGCCCATTGTAAAGGTAGCCCCCGATAATCGTGAGATGTGCACCTTTCAGAAGCACCTGCATCCCGACCAGATCCTTAAAACGAACTCCAGTGGTAAGAGCCGCCACGTCCTTCTTGCCTTTATCTGCTCGTTTACCAGGTAGCTCGTCCTTGTTGGAGGCCAAGTGCCTGGGTGACCAAGATGACCATTTCTTTGAGACACCCATCGCGACACCACCAGCTTTCTTCGTGAAGTTGGCCGACTCAGCACCCGCTGGGCACACCATAATTTTGTAACCAGCTTTATCAAACTCCACCAAGACGTCATTGGTTTCGGCCATGTCCATGTGGGTCTCCTGGATGATGACCGCGTCGTAGGACCGTTTCAACAGCGCCTTGGCCGACGTACCCCAGGTCGACATGTTACGCATGTACACCCGAAACTGTGCACCATCTCCCATGTCAGCATTTGCCTCCTTCTCGGTACTCTGAGTGGCCACAATAGCTTGTAAGACCCAGTCCCAGAAGATGCACATTCGATCCTGAGCCTGATCGTCCTCCATGTCTCCGTCAGCTTGATCAGGAAAGAAACGATCTGGAGGAACTCGATTCCCAAGAAGGCGTCGAAACCGTCGGCGAAGCTCACTAAGGTCGTCGAAGTGCCATCGCAGGAATCTCATGTAGCGCCTAGGGTTCCTGATGGAATTGAGCGCGTTGAAGAAAAAAGCCCTGTGCGGCTCCGCTGTTACCCATGCGCGTGTGCATAAATGTTCTGCGATGTCCTGCAACGACATGCGGTAGTAATTCTCCAGGTTCTGACGGAGGCCGCGCATAGACCGACGAGAGAGCGATGCCACAGTGTACGGAACACACCACTCCTTCCAATGCTCCAAAGAATTGTAGCGTTCGCCTCTGATGTCGTGGACCCACCTGGACGCGGCAGCCGTCATATCATACCTCAGATCTCGCCGCTCTCTGGCTCGATCCACTCTGGGAAGTTGAGGAGGTCGTGGCCGTCGATCTCGAAGTTCAGAGCCTAAGTCAGCGTAGAGCTCCCAGGTGACCTTCCAGCCACTTGCCTCAATCGTGCCCTCGAGGAGAAGGAGACTGTCGTGCTTCGCGAACAGAGACCCTTCCTTGCCAACAGAGATCCGAGGCCAGTTTCCAACCCGAGCCAGCCCAGCAAGTGGCAACGACGAACGTGGCGACGTCGAACCTGGGTGTCCAGGATGTTGCATTCTGACGCCCGCCTGGCAAGAATCTGCCTGTGCCGTCGACTGCGATAAAAACATACCGCGGCCGAAATGGTTAATTGCCTCAAAGTGCTGCTGCGACACAAGCTGATCTGTCCAGGAATCTTGAAAGTTGACGCTGTCAAAAGTACGAGATGACTTCGAACCATGCCAGTGCCAAGCAGATGTCTCAAGTGGAGTCGCCCCTTGCAAATAGAAACTACTGGGACTGCTATTCCCAACCAACAAATCAGGGGTCCCGAGAGAAACCACCCCCTGCATCCCACCATCTGGGTAATTGAAGTAACCACCACCAGAAGGCCCAAGAGAGGCTGCCATTTGAGACGCACGATCGTCCCAGAAAAAGCAAACCTGGTCCTCCCAGATCGTGCCAAGGGTCCCGAGAGGGGCCACCCCTTGGTAGGTATGCTCCTCCAACGAGCTGCAGAACGCCTCTGACTCGAACTTGCCAGGGGTCCCGAGAGGGGCCACCCCCTGGTATGCAGTCTCATCTGTGGAGCTGTGGACCGAGGCCTCCCAGTCCGTGCCAAGGGTCCCGAAAGGGGCCACCCCTTGGTATGCAACCTTATCTGTGGAGCAGTAGATCGTGTCATACTCGTCCGTGCCAAGGGTCCCATGAGGGGCCACCCCTTGGTATGCTAGTAAGCTGTCGTCGCCCTGGCCGACGTTCGTGACAGGGGTCTCGAATAGAGCCACCCCCTGCAGTAAACTCGTGCCACCGAAGTCCTGGCCAGGGGTCCCAGGAGGGGCCACCCCCTGGAATAACCTCCTGGAAGTCCAAGTTGATGCCGTACTTGCAGTAGATCTGCCCGACTTGCCCTCTTCACTGGCCTCCCCCTGCGCTGCTACCTGCCCAAGGCGGGGCGGGAGCCAGGGTTCTGCCGAGGGTGGGCTGCTAAACTGTCGACTGTCTGCCAACTGCACCTGCCCTCTTCCTGGCCAGCGCTTCGTCCATGATGGTGCGGAGCTCGGTCTGCTTGCCGTCGACCAAAGGAGATACCCTCGCCCAGGAAGATTTTCCAGCCGCCCCTGTCTGAGTCGGAGCCGTAGGTGTGGAGGGAGTGGCCCCCACCGCAGGGCCTGTGGCTGAAGTGGCCGTAGCCTCAGCGCCACCTGCATCACCAGATCCTCCTTCGCCTGGATTGGCCGTCGAAGCAGGCGGGCACGAACTGGATTTGCGCTTCTTGGCCTGTTGCCAAGATCCGATCTCCTCCACCTTCTTCTGCTGCTGCGAGGCCAAATTCTCCACCACCTTGCGGAACTGCGAGTCCAAAGCCGCACGGAACTCCGTCTCGAAATTGCTTTTGCGCCGTTCGAACTCCTCGCGATCGCTATCCTCAAGGTCCACGTCGTCGAAGAGCCCCCCGAAGCTGAGGTTGAGCTCCGCCTTTTGGTCCAGAAACTGACGGACGTCCAGCTTCCCCAACTCAGACGGAGACGAAGGCGGGGCAGGCGCCAGCTCTTTGGCCACGAGCTCCTGCGCCACGATAGCATCTGCCAAGTTGCTTGCACAATCTCGGTAGAATCCCATAGCTTCTCCCAGCTCTTGCTCGAGACGGAGAACACGCTTTGCCACCTTGTCCATGCTGGCCTCGGCCCGCTCAACCTTCTGCGTCGCCTCCGTGAGCCTGACAGATGCAGGCTTCGATGGTGCAGCAGCGGGAATTTGGTTGACCAAGGTATCACGAAGTAGCTTTGCCTGCTCAGCTGCTGCACCTCCCTTAGCGATAATGCGCTCCAAGGCCGCCTTTTCCACGTCCGAGGTCCCAGAACCATGAAGAGCGTCTGCTGGTTGCGGTGCCCCACCTCCTGGTCCTGCGGGCTTACGTCCTTTGAGGAAACAGCCGCAGTACTGGCAGGTGTAGTCGAATTTCTCCCGCAGGTCATTGTAGCAGAACTTCCCACAGACTTTGCACCAGGTCGCATCTCGTCCAAGCTTGGGAAGAGCGATGCGCTGCGAAATGTTCTGTCGAAGATCTGCTCGAGGGGTCGCTGGTCGCCATGGCTGCATCTTGAAATTGCCGTATGCATTCGAGCTACCATCCCCAAGACTGGGCCACTGGTCGCTGAGAGACATACTTGCGCCTGCCGTGGTCGAAGATTGATACCACGGTGCTCTGCTCTGCCAAGACTTATACTGCTGACGCCCTCCTTTCCCCATGAAGAAAGAATATGTAGTAGGAAACCTGTGGTGATCAGGCTCCTGAAAGCAATTGAGAACTGGCTGCGGACTAGCAGCTTCCACTTTGGCACGGAGGCGCGGAGCCCCCTGAGTGCAACCATCTTGAGCCAAAATGGCTACGGAGGAGGAGGAGGAGGAAGAGGAGGAGGAGGAGGAGGAGGAGGATGAGGCCGGCACCCCAGGGGGCACCCTGGGGGGCGGGCGGGGACCTAGACAGAGTTCTCCGCGGCGCCCGGAGGAGGCCCGACGAGGTCCGTGAGGTGACCTCCAGGCCCCAACGGCGCCGATCGCGAACCACACCCGGGCGCAACCACGCACCCCTTGCAGTCGCCAGGGAACGGCTCCTGGACACCAGGGCTGTTCCCTGGGGACTGGTCCTTGATCCCGAGCAGCTCTTTCAGAGTCCTGGTGGCCTGCGGGGGCGCCTCACATGAGGCGTTCCAAGAAGGGCCTTGCCCTCGAGGATCGAACGAGTTGTCGCACTGTGTGATTCTCTGTGTTCGCGTGGAATGGCAGCCACGCCGCTGAACTGGTGTGAGCATGCTCGTGAAAAAAAAGGGTGGGGTGCCGCAGGAGCCCGAACACGGCCTCGCACCTCCAAGACTCGCTTCCCTCTGGACACCATCCCAAACACTCGATGTACAGACTTTTTCAACACGGGGTCCCTGGAGGCCCTGACCCTTTCCCCGGAACCGGCCTGTCATGCGTCGTTTTTTGACCGTCCCAGGGCCGTGTAAGGTCCCCTCGAGGCCGGAGACGGCGAAAGACCTCTCGTCCTGATTCTTTCTCGATGCGAGCATGTCTGGGATTGCCTCATGGCGAGCCGTAGGCAACCACGCCCCGTGCCGCTGCCTCTGCCCGCCTGGTCCGTTGCTCTCTCCACTCCGCGCGCCTTCGTATCGCCCGAGGTCATGATTGCTAAGGGGAGCTCGAGGTCGGGCTGGCCGGTGGCCTTGCGCGCGTAGGCCTGGTGTCAGCAGCACGGGGCGCGAGGGCAGCCCGGGAGGGGGTCTAGGGAGGATTGGCCTGCCTCCGTGGCAGGCTTTGGATGTTCTTCGTCGTCGTCACCATCGCCGTCGTGGGCATGGAAAGGGACATTCGAGGAATGCAATGAGCACGAACATGCCCAAACCAACAATCATAATAGTTTAGTTCAAATCCGGACGGTGTTAGCGCCGCGCATGCCAGAGTGCTTGCCTGCTGCCTGGAAAGGTTTCGCTAGGTTCTCCAAGCCCCCACTGTCTGCGCGCGTCCTCCGAAGCTCGTCCCACCTGGATGTGCAATCTGGCGCTCTATGAAGCCTCCAGACGGCTCCAAGGCAGTCAAAGACCACTCCAAAATAGCTCCAAAACGGCTCAAGACCATGCAAAGACAACCTAACAAACTCCCGAAGGCACACACCACTCTCAAATAGCTTCAAAACGGCTAAAGACCATGCAAAGGCAGCCAAACAAAATCCCGGAGGCTCCTAAGTGCCTCCAAGAAACACCCAATGAGACCTCAAACGTACCATTTGAACTGCTTTCGTCGGACACTTCCGGGCTTCAGATCGCAAGATTGTCTGTGAATCCCCCTCACAGAAGCCCAGGAAAGCCTCAAACACGCCCCAAAAGTCCGCCCAGACGCCCCCCTGTGAAGATTCGGCCGATCGCGAAACACCCTCCGTCGATCCCCCCCCTCGGGGTGCCCAGGTTCCATGCCTGCTGCATCGTGATGGTCATTGGGCTCTGGAACAGGGCTGGACCTAAACAGTGTTTTTCGTTTTCGTTTTGTTTTCGTTCTCCCTCGCTTTGTCTTTAATCCACCTCTACCGCAGAACGAAGTCGAAACGAAAACGGCCCCCGAAATCGCCGAACGGCCCTGCCCTGGAAAGAGACGCGTCTACCCCTCCCCACCTCCCCCCTAGCGGCCATTCCGCTTGCGGGGAACCAACAGTTTGGGTACGAACGGGGGCTCGACGAACGCGCCTGGTCGCCCCCCCCACGTTGGGACGCCTTGGGGGTGCCCAGCTGCGCTGCCCAGCACATCGCGAGGGCCACTGGTCCAAAGAAGGAGCGCCCGCCTTCCCGAAGCAGCCCTTCCACCTGAGATCCCCAAGCGCTTGGGTCACGGACAGAAGCGTGAAGCACCCCTGGTCGCCTCTCCCCCTGCGGGTGCCCAAATGTCGCGCCTGCCACCTCGCGATGATCATTCGGCCTGGAACAGGAACACGTCTTCCCCCCCAGCGCGACAAATTTACCTAACAGGTCTATGCAATGTGGGTACCCAAGAGGCAGTGGCGCAACTTTGGTCGACCGCCCCCTTGGGACGCCAGGGTGCGATGCACGCTACAAGAGTAACGCGTCGATCCACTCAACGCTACGATTCCACATAGGAGGTCCAAAACATTCGTAAGCGCTACGTATTATGTCGCACCTAATGCCACGACTGGTACATGGCGGTGGCTATTCGGTTTCGGCGAAGAACGCCTTTTCTGCCCACCCAAAGCGGCATTTCTACTCCAGAGAAACCAGTGTTAGCCCATATGGCCCCAAACGGTAAGCTCTTGCAGCCTAGGCGGTGCAATCCATGTGGTGCAACGTATGCGATGAAGCCGACGTAATGCAATTGGTGCAACCATGTGGCGCAATTGATTTCCACAAACGACTTGACACATCCCAAGCTCTTGCAAACATCCCACCAACCCACCCGCAAGTTGGTTTGCAAACCCCATGCAGTGGCGATTGCGATGCATGCTTGGCGTTGGCTGGTGCATCCCTGCGCCCGCGCCATCACCAGCACGCGCGCGCAGCGGCCAGCTAGTTTGGCGCCACCGACGCGCTGATCACGCCGACGACGATGACGGCGTCCTCGCGTCGGTGATGAAGCTTGTCGAAAGAGTTCGACAAGAGCACGCGGACGACGCACGAGAGTGGCCCGCATGGTTTTATTTGCCACGGATCGTGTCCCCCCCACAACGCGCGATGGCGTGCGAATGAGCCCGTTTGGCAGAAGCCCGTGGGAATGTTGAAAACCGATGGTTTCTTAAAGAATGCGCAAGAGCGCGAGCGCACGCTTTACTGAAAACTGATATTGCGAAACCGTGATTTTTCTGAATGTTTTTGGGGGATATTCGGTTTTGAAACCGCTACGGAACCGCAGGTGTTGACGGATTCCGGCATGCGCGTGCGACGCCGCGCGCGCGCACTTCGTCGCATTTTTTTGACAAAAGGATTCTCGCGACAGCACGCGCGCAAAGGGCTTCGAAGGATTTCCACATGCGCGCGCGAAGCCCATGTGGTCGCATTGTCCGAACATATTGAACAACCTATGGCTTTCTAAAGATATGGCGAAACATCAAACAAATGCGCGCACTTGTTTTGAACACCCGTGTTGCGAAACTAATTATGTTCATATAATGTTTGGAGACTCGATGTTTAAAATCCTTACGCAACCGGATTTGAAGAATTTCGACATGCGCGCGCGACGACGCGCGCGTGCACTTCGTCCCTAAGGGATTTGTGGGACACTGATGAATTCTAATATGCGAACGCGCGCATCTTATGTTTTGCAAACCACTCTGCTGAACTTGAAGTCGTCATCTCCACTGCTCGCGCAAACATCCCACCCACCCACCCGCATCTTGGTTTGCAAAACCTCTTGAGACCGACTACGGCGACACCGACGACAACGACTACGACGACAACGACGACGTCTCCGACGACTTCGACGACGGCAACGACGCCGACGCCGACGACGACGAAGACGACGACGACGACGCCAACGAAGGCGACGACGAGGGAGGAAGGACGACGACGGCGACAACGACGACAACGACGACAACGACGAGGGAGGAGGGAGGACGGCGACGACGCGAACGACGAAGAAGGAGGAAGGACGGCAACGCCGACGACGACAACGACGAGGGAGGACGGAAGACGACGACGACAACGACGACGACGACGACGGCGACGAAATAGGAGGGACGACGACGAGACGCCGACGACGGACGACGACGACGACGAGGGAGGAGGAGGAAGGACGACCACGGCGACAACGACGATGGAAACGACCACGACGCCAAAGAGGACGATGACGACGAACACGAGGAAAGACAGAGGACGACGTAGGCGACGACGACGACGACGCGGGAGGAGGGAGGACGGCGACGACGACGACGACGACGACGACGACGACGCAGCGCGCGCGCACGCTTTTGTTGAACATCCGTGTTGCGAAACCTTGGGTTTTTGTAGGTTTTTTGGACGCACGATTTTGAAATCCTTCCGAAACCGATGGGTTTTGAAGGATTTCGGCATACGCGCGCGACGACGCGCGCGTCTGCACTTCGTCCAATTTTTTCCAGAGGATTCTCGCGACGGCACACGCGCAAGGGCGTTCGACAGATTTCGACATGCGCGCGCGCGAAGCCCGTTTGGTAGCATGTTGTGAAAATCTTGAAAAAACCATGGTTTTCTTAAGATTTCGCAAGAGCTCGTGCGGAAGCTTTTTTAGCAAATCAGTGTTGCGAAACCCTGTGTTTTTTTTAAATGTTTTTTGGAGACTCAATTGCGAAATCCTTCTGGCACCGAAAGTTTTTGAAGGATTTCGGCATGCGCGCGCGACGGCGCGCGCGTGTGCAATTCGTCCCATTGTTTGCAAGGGATTCGCGAACAAGTCTTATGTTAGAACAGAAGATGTCCCCGCGTATCGTTTTTTACAAAGGAACCTCAGGGGGGTCGATCCCGGCCCCTCCGGGATAGTGTAAATTCATATTAAGGATGGACATGTGGTCATAATCTTATATGATTTACATACTCGAAAGGGGGACCGATAACGCCGGGGGTGGTGGTAGATCCTAATCTGTTTTTAGGAAGGAGAATACATGATGGACGGGGTGCGATACCGGCCTGCCTGGCATGGT